ACATTGCGCAGTCACCTGAACGCATACACCGACCCCAACATCACAACCTGGGCACAAGGTGGATATCAATTTCCCACAAATACTCTCACCGGGTGTTAAGCTGTGGCCATCCCCTGGTTCGTGCTGTGCTGTTGTGTAGTTAGTCATGATCTTTTATAACCATACGCCCTGCTTGCATTATTATACGACCATAGCTATTGCGCGCTGGACACTTCATCCCCTCCTTAAACCCTTATTACGCTCCCTCCCATAAAAGGATGTCCTGCCCACCACGACTGGTCACGTACTGACTTCGCGTCGACATACATGGAACTTTACTAGGTCCTTATTATTTCGTGGTAGAGACATTCCTTCATAGTCGTTACCTATCGTAAATAGGATCCGAGACCACAACATGTGAGTTAGATGGACTATCAGTATACCGAGCTCACTGATGAGTGAGTACAACGTATTAGAACCAGGGATATATGCCATGTGCAATAATCTAACCCAGCATCTTTCTGAAGTCATCTTGCCCCTTCTTTCCCTTCTGCTCTGGTGGCTGGGCGCTTGAACTCGATGGCGCCTGCGTGGCACCAAGACCAGGTTTGCGGGCACGACCAAGGCCCGCTCTCGGCCGAGATCCAGTTGCCCGAGGTACAAACATGCCCCCAGTTGCTGGTGGCGGTGCCGCAGGCTGGCCATGGGAAGGCCCTGCCTGCTCTTCAGAAAACTGTAATACATTCCCGCCCAAGATGATAGGTTCAGTCCTAAGCAGTAGCTTCCCAGCCTCCTATAAACGTGTCACTAGGATTCTGCGGAGCATGTGAACGCAATACTAACAGCAGGATTTTCAAGTTCGACCACTGCCTCGTTCAAAGCAGCGAAGATCTCAGTTCGTTTAACGAGAGAATGTTTCTCCAGGAGCTGATGAAGTAGTCCTTCTTGTGTTCCCGAGGGAATGTTTCGAATTCGAACAGAACGATTTCGAGCGTCAGCGCGGCGGCCCAGACCTGTTTCGGCTGTGCGTTCTCTAAAAAGCGGATAAGGTAAATTTGTTGTACAGTAATACGAGAGAATGACTGAACTTGTTCTTCGCACGCACGCGAGAATCTGTGAAAGTGACCGCGATACGCCGATTCTTCAGTTCATAGTTATTAGCAGCAAGCGCAGCACGAGCATCCGTCTACAAAGCGACACAATGAACAACAAATTAGTTGCATGTTCGCAAAAATCATACCTCTGATTCAAAATCGACGAAAGCAAAACCTTTGGACTGTCCGCTCTTATCCTCCGCAAGGCGGATTTCTTTGATGGGTCCATACTGACAGAAACAACCCTTAGCAACCAACCACTGCACATAGAACGGGCTCACAGTCTCAAAGACTTTTCTTAGGTCTTCCTTCGTCGCAAATTTGCTTAGGCCAGCAACATAGAGTTCTCGCTCATTAGCATCTGCATCTGATCTCTCTTTCTTACGCTCGGGATTTGAGATGAGCACGCTGATAGCGCGATCGGGCTCCAGCTCGCGACCATGGAGCTCGAGTGCTCGTTCAGCTGACGACTGCCGCGCAAAAGTCAGGTGTCAACAGTTCATACAAAAAGAGTATCACAAACTGGAGATGTGTACTGCAAGTAGCAAAAACGTCTTGTAGCTTTGAATTTCTTGCTTGGCCATCGTACATCAAAGATAAGGCCATACTTTTGGAACTGAATCAGGTTGGGATATAACGCGCAGAAAGATGACTCACTTGGCCGAACAAATCACGAATAGATGCGTCATCGAACTTTTCTGGGAAATTCGTGACATACAACGTAGAGCGCCAGGCTAGATGCACGCTGATCTCGGTCTCATGTATTCTCTTCTTGTCCTTGGTAAGAGCAGCTGGCACACTGTCCTTAGGAAGTAATACACGTGTCAGTACACACGATATGGTCCGTAAAATGATGTGACCTACCCTATCATGAAATTCCACCGTTGCAACTAGTGTTTCCGGCATACGGGTGAATTTGATGTCTCGGATATCGCCACACTGGATGCGCGGAAGTGAGAAATATAGGAGGAGCAGAGTTAGGAGGATAGAACACTCGCGTCTTTGAACAATGCCCTTAAATCGGCTTCAGTCGCCTCAGATGGTAGGTCGGCAACGAAAACGGTGCAGTTCTCTCGATCACTGATCATGAATTTGTGTGAAGTGAATATCCTTTCGAGTATAAAGGCACCCATACCGTTTCAGGGAAACAGGTGGAGTTTCTGGAAGCACAGTCTCATTAAAACCTCGATGCAATAACGGCGATGAATAATTTACCGAGGCGAGGCTTCTTACCCCCACTGGTTTCAGTAAGGGGTTCTTCCTCAGCTTTCCGCTTCCCTTTCGTGTCGGCTGGAGCTAAAAAGTCGACATCCATAGTTTCACTGGCAAGCGGTGTTGAATCTTGTGCTGCACCTGTCGCGGGAACAGATACAGTTGGCATTGATCCAGCTTGCTGCTCTGCATACTGTGCTGCCGCCGCTGCATATGCTTTCTCGGCCTCCTAAAATGCAGTTGAGTTGTTACCAAATTATTATGAGAGCGCACTTACCCGCGCTCTCCGCGTTTCAAGTTGGGCTCTTGCTTGAGTAATTTTATATATGGCTTCCTCGAGAGAAGAAAGCGACCCGTGCGCATGTTCAAAGTTGTGCCATGCATCCCAGAGGGCCTCTGGATAATCCAGATTCTTCGTGCTCATGTCTTGGAAGGTTTTGCGAGCAAGATCATGGTGATATGTGCGGCTGGGAACAGTTAACTGAACATCCATGTAAATGAAAATGAATGGAGCGCACATGAGAACATCAGTGTAAGCCACCCAAGCCGCCCAGCTCGATTTATAGTGGACCGCTGTGGAAGCCCATAGTTGCACGGCAGCATCCGGAACGTCCGCAAGACTGAGATACTACATAGAAGGTTTTGCTAAGTTTATTTGCGGCGCTCATGAATTGACATACGAATTCCGACAGGAACTTCTCTAGCCTGAAGCGGGGATCTCCACTGCTCGATGCTGAAGGAAGGGTACTTGTCGTTGCTATCAATAATTGGGTCAAACAGCATACATTCTTACCTTGGCGAACCATCGCGATCCCATCCTCCACGACTTTGATGAGGGTAGCCAGACTATCCCCGTCATCATGACCGCCTTCAACTGCGCGCTTTGCCGCGCCTGCGCGAGCGAGAACCAAAGGTACAATCTGGTCAGCGTCAACTTCAGGATCACTCTTCCTGCCCCTACTAAACAGGGTTGTTGAGAGTGCACGAGCGTAGGCAGCTGGAAAAAATATGAACAAGAAAACGAGGAGTGGAGTCCAACACCATTATTTACCTTGAATATCTTCATTCTGACCGGCATCCATCTCATCCGCACTAGCCTCGGACTCTTGTTCCCGTTCCTGGCGTGAGAATAGGCATGGTGAGGGAGCGAGTCAAGGTTTGTTGAGCTTACCAGGAAACGAATGTATCGTGCCCAAACTTCGCCCGAACCTGGTGCGCTGCGTGTCGCACGTTGCCAAAACTCCGCACTTTGACCTTGTGAATTCACAAAATCAATGTATCCAACCCAGAACATTTGTGTTGCCCGTTCTGCGCCAAGCTCGCCAGAAAATTGGCGTCTTGATGCCTCTGCAAGGCCGCGTTCGTACAATCCACAAAGAATAAGATAATCCGGATCTCTTCGACGTCGCTCTGCAGCGATGTAGGTTGCGTATGCATCGAGTGAGTATCCAGCAGTTGCCTAAACGGAGGAACAGTCAGAAATTTACGAAGAAAAAGTAGTTTGCTTACCAATACCATCTCTGACGCCTCTCGTTTCTCATATTCTTTGACAGCCCGTGAGCGCAATTTTGACACAGATATGAGAAGCGATTCGTATTCACTAGCAGGCTTGTGCGCAGTTGTAAACGAGGAGTATGATTGATAGGTGTCCTGATGCTCTATGGTTGCGACCTCAGTATCGAAAAAGTATATGAATGATGATATCTTACTGGCGTGCGGTTGCTGGAGACGAGCGAGCAGGATGTTTTCGATCACGTTGACCAATAGGGGCCTGACATATCATAAGCGAGCTGCTACGAGTCGTCGAAGCGTCGAAACTTTGCAACGCACTTCTTATCCACCGAGGCCTTCTCCAGTATCTCAAGCTCCCAGTTGTAATACTGATCCCAAAGTATATGACTCTGCGTGTCGTCGGCATTTAGTAATGTGTTGCATTGAAGAACTTACTTGTGATATGTCACCAGCGCCTTTGGAAACGACAATCGACATGAGTTCCCGAGTCCAGTCATCAGAAAACAGCTCTCCTAGACTATCTGGTTTGACTTCCAACCCAGAGAAGTGTTCGTGACGGTCGGCTAGGAATTCCAGATGCTTTTGCAAAATGCAGAAGGCTAGATGTAGCCTGTCAATATCTCCCAGAACGTATATTGTAGCTCACATACACATGTAGTCCTGCTCTGCCTTCGAATATACGCCCAACACCTCCAGTGCACCCTCTGGCGTATTTATATCATTCGCGGCAGTCTTCGCGTCAATGAGAGGTAGCCAAACGTCGTCCGGTGTTGCTATATAGTTTGTTGCCATTTCGAGAGCAACTAATATTTGATCCTTGTCTTCCATAGACTTTGCCAGGCGAATGTGCTGCACATGGAGGTCAACACTGTACGAATTCGTGGATAGTCTTGTGAGCGTGTCAGCGAGAGCATCGAGAGCGACAGACTCGTCCATGACGCGAGAAAGCGAGCAACTGAGAGCTGCTTATTGGTTTTGATGGCCAATTACGACTGCGCCAAGTATTGAATATTGAATGATCTAGTTGTTGAATTCGATCGACAACTTGTTGCAGACCACGGTGTAGAGCGGACCCCGAATACTCATTACTCAATAATTCGCCGCGACTCCAACTATCACCTGGCGGGAATCGGCAGTCAGCGGGGCCTGAGGCCTGATCAGTGGTTCGTTCATGACTACCACACACCCACTTGAAGGAGCACAATGGAATTTACCCCATGTCACCCTCAACCATTCACGTTTCAGCAAGCTATCTCCTTCGATCCCGAAGTTTCTGCCGATGGTATGTTATCACAATTTCAGAGAAGCATATCCAAGGACCAACTTGAACATCAAATATCAGAGATCAGTCGTCTTCAAAACTCAATTTCCCATCTAAAACGCACGCAAGAAGAACTCCAGGAATATGCAGACGACCCAGACATCGCACAAGCAATCAAAGAAAACAACCAGACGTTGTCAGTACAAGGCAGTACATGGACTTTATTGCGCTTATTAAGATCGACGCACGCGTTCACACAGAGCATCGCAAGATGAGCGAATATTCATGCTCAAATTGGCGCTCACTCAGCGTGGAGAGTCGAATGCCACCGGCGCTCATTATGACCTTCCCCCTGAATCGGAACTTGAAAATGGAAATGGCAGGCATGTCAGTGGTGGATTTGGGACTGGTGATATTGGACTTGAGTCGTTGGACGCACCTCTCCCGAGAGACAACTCGGGTCATGTGCCATCCAATTCGACTGGGGAGGATGAAGAAGAAAGCGGTGTGCATTTGTAGTCCTACGTTATTCTTGATCATAATTGCCGCATTGTACATGATCTAATCACTTTATGCATTGGTTAAACAGGATGTCGCGAATTGATCCTTCCAGTGCCAGTGAGCTCTGTTTAATGTGCGTATGAAACGGGCTCTCGATTCCAATGCGAATGGTTCTTCGTATTAATCACCGATTCTAGTTCTGATATACACTCGAGCTTGAATATTCCCGCTACCTTTAGGTAGTGGGTTTTTTAGGGTTCTGTTTTTCACGAGATTCAGCGAATTTTGCGTGTCCGTGCATAGCCTTATTAAAGTCTGTTGCGTTATCTCAATGCGCTGCTTGTGGGTCTCCGTATGGTTGCTGGTGCATTCGCTGACAATATACTTATCGAGGTGAGTACCTTGTTCTCGTATATTCAGCAGTACATATTTTATCTATAAGAGAATTTTATTAGTGTTCTGCACGCGTCATTCCATTCCTTTGATGACATGATAATATGTCATGCATTGATCCAACGCCTCGACCGAGGACTCGTCATGATCTTGAAGGGAAAGTATTCTTATAATCAACCGGTCATAAAGCGTGCTTAATATACAAAAAATCCAGAATCCGTATGCAAGTAGTTGATGGAGAACAATTGCAAAGAACTGGTCTTGACCATGTTTGAATAACGGGGGAAATTTAAAGGTAACAGGAAACTGGCAGCGATACATATATAATAACCAGTCAGCTTCCTAATCCACAGGCCCAAGCTTTCAGCCAATCTTGACAAAGGATACAAAAAGATGATCGAAGATGGGACGCCGCCAAAAGACCATGATCGGACGGAGAACTCCCCATTTGCTGAATCATCCTTAGTTCCTTGAGCGTGCGCCGGCGCGGCGATAGTTTGGAAATAGAGAACGTCAAAAGCTCTACTTTCATGTCCGTGCCGGTAGGCTCACATTCAGCAAGCGTGTGCGCGCTATGCGGAATGGGCAATGAAAAGGTCTGGAGATTGCTCAGTGGAGCCCGCGTCATCCACTCAGGCAGCTTGTAGATTTTCGATGCACTATCGCGGTGGCAGATGCCACACTGGTGCCGAGTACTGTCGGTTATCGTGTGTGTGATGGAGATGACATTAGATATAGAAGCAAGAAAAGCCGCTCCATGGTCGGTCTTGATGTAGGACGGCCATTGGCGAGTCATGGATTCAGTACCCATTACCATCAAGGTTTTTGGGCTGTACAGAACTGGAGATTCTTCGTGGCTGTCCGCGCGGGACTTCCAGACTTGAAACAAGCAACCTGACAGAAGGCCCAGATTCTCAAAGTCGACTGCGATGGACGGTGCAGCGAGCAGGACGGGGGCCAGGGGACTGAGGTCTAGCCCAGATTGCATTTGTCCGAATTCGTTGAGCGAAAGTCCTGGGATGGAACCACGAAACTGTCCCATCCACATTCTGCGTACATGCTTCGCGTAGTCAAATTTGAATTGATGGTCTTGCTGAGCGTATGCCTGCTGCATACGTAAGGTGTCCACGAACGCTGTCACGTTGCGCAATTGCGGGAGCAACACGGTGTGAAGAATTTCGGGCAACACCGTTTTCCTGACCTCTTTGGAGACAAGACAGAGAGCGAGGGCGAATGAGTATGGGTTTTTAGACTTGTATGGTGCAATCTGAGAAAAACTGGGTTGTGCCGCATGTTTAAGGATCAGGAGGACCAGCTCAACTGGAAGGTTGCCAAATGGAAATGAAAGTTGGGTAACAGGTTGCATGATGGAGGAGTAGCTAATGTCAAATTTATTTGAACTATGCAGGAGTCCTTAAATACTCACCTCATAAACAATGTCCACCGCGGCGTCATCCACAGAAGTGGAAACGCATTGTGTGCAGTGGGACCAAAGGCAAACCAAAAGTTGTCACTCGGTAGTCCACAGCAGAGTCATTGTTCCTTCTAGGTCGCATAATGTGCTCTTGCTTGGGACCATGAGATATCGCTCGATGGTCTACAATGGAATGTTTGGTACTTCTAGGTCGCACAGTGTCATGATGCGTTCTTGCTCGGGACCAGTATTACTGTCGATTACTCATCGTCACGGTCACGGGACCCACGGCGTTGTGACACAGATCCATACATTAACCATTACTACTAATTCTAAAAAAAAGCCGAATACTGCACAAACTGGACGTACGCCAGGTAAAGAGCCTAGGGCGGTGGTAATGCCATCACAATATTTTCTCCATGGTATAGTACGTTGCCACCGTGACTGGTATGACTAAAATTGTGATTCAAATGTTGTCATATCGAGCTAAAGCCTTGAAAGCTTGATGGCATGATGAATAATTCAGCGCTCAACTATGACCTTAGTAATGGTTGCAGTGCCCCCGCTCAGATCAGGATGCTGCGGTGTACAGTATCATGATGTGGTAGTCCGTTGTAGCTCCTCAATTGATCAATACTCACTATGAACCTCTTGCATCGCCCTCGCAAACGATTCTCCAGTTTCAGTTTTTACTAGTCCGACCCTTGCTTAAATAGACATCAAGCAAATGGACTCAGCTATCACTTCCCCTCACCCTTTCAATCCATCATGACCATTCACCACATAGGTAAACCCTCCTTTGAAGCGTTGGAATCAGATGCTAATGCACAGCGCAGTCCTGTACAAGTTTAAGCCCGAGGTGACCCCAGAACAGAAGCAGGGCGTGAGGGACAACGTCAGCGCCCTTCCGTCGCAGATACCTGCAATCCAAAGCATTATCACTGGTGAAACGGTGTACAACCATCTCGGACACGGCTTCGACGGGGGTATGCCATTCTTCGTCTTGTTTCAGAGTGGTCATTAAGATCGTACCTCAGGGGTCATTCTCCTATTCGAGAGTCGAGCCAAGTTGGCCGAGTATCGCCCACACAAGGCGCTTGCTGATTATCAGGCGTTCTTGAAACCTTTGCTTGAAGGTATGTCTTGGTTTTGTTGGAAGATCGCTTTGATTGAATGGTTGGGCGCAGATCTACTCATTTTTGATATCGAGTCAACCGCCTAGAGAGGAAACTAGTTTTATAGAATGTTGTGCTGCTCACGCAAGTGATGGCTCAAGGTGCTGCGTATAATTCAGCTTCGGGTCGCGACCCTTGAAATAAAACGTATTGTTTGATACGCAGGTGGCTGGATCAACTGAATTCGTAACTATGAGCATTCACATCATTCGTGAGTCAGAATGCGTACACCTGATTGATGCATGATGCATGGCGGCTCTAGTCGACGCAAAAACGGCATTTCTTTGCGAAAGCTGATAGTGCCCACCATTTAGGGGCTCATGTCGGTGCCCAACATACGCTGGAGTGAGCGCCGGGAGTCACGATGCTTCTTCGGATTGATCAGTCCACTGCTCACCATAAATAGTATTCGCCACGTACTTTGTTTAAACAAGTGGTCACGCAGATGTTGCTCCTGTTTGGGACCACAAGGTGTCGCTGGGTAGTCCACAGCAGAGTGATTGGTCCGCTTGACATTTATGATTAACGTCTGTCGGAATGGATCAATTATTACTGATTATCACGGCGTGCAAGTTGGCGTATAAAACTGCCATGATGGAACATTAATAATTAATTCTAAAAAAGCTGAATACTGAGTAGCTGGCACAAACCGGACGCCTGGTAAAAAGGGCCGAAGCACTCGGAGCTAAAGCCTTGATAGATGATGGCGCTCAATTATAACCTTAGTAATGGTTGCAGTGCCCCCGCTCATATCAGGATGATGCGGTGCACAGTATCATGGTGTGGCAGTCCGTTGTAGCTCCTCAATTGATCGATAGTCATTACGAACCTTTTGCATCGCCCTCGCAAGCGATTCTCCATTTCCAGTTTTACTCCGACCCTTGCTTAAATAGACATCAAGTAAATGGACTTGTCAGTTCCCCTCACCCTTTCAATCCATCATGACCATTCACCACATAGGTAAACCCTCCTCCTTCGAAGCGTTCAAATCATATGCTAATGCACAGCGCAGTCCTGTACAAGTTTAAGCCCGAGGTGACCCCAGAACAGAAACAGAGCGTAAGGGACAGCGTCAGCGCCCTTCCGTCGCAGATACCTGCCATCCAAAGCCTTATCACTGGTGAAACGGTGTACAACCATCTCGGACACGGCTTCGACGAAGGTATGCCATTTTTCGTCTTGTTTCAGAGTGGTCATTGAGATCGTACCTCAGGGATCATTCTCCTATTCGAGAGTCAAGCCAAGTTGGCCGAGTATCGCCCACACAAGGCGCATGTTGATTATCAAGCGTTCGCGAAACCTTTGCTCGAAGGTATGTCTTGGTTTTGCTGGAAGATCGCTTTGATTGAATGGTTGAGCGCAGGTCTACTCATTTTTGATATCGAGTCAGCCGCCTAGAGAGGAAACTAGTTTGATAGGATATTGTGCTGCTCACCCAAGTGGTAGCTCATAATTCACCTTCGGATCGTGACACTTGAAATGAAAATATAATGTTCATGATATCGATACTGTGCTTCGCAGGTGGCTGAATCAACTGAATCACATCTTCCAATCCATTCACCTCATCCGTGAGTAGGTTGACTTAGGGGCTTGTAATGCCTAATCCGTCCATGTAGATGCCGGAGTGAGTGCCGAGAGTCAGAGCTATCGGCCTGCCATGAACGAAGTCGGAAACAAACTTGATCAAGAGTTGAGAACATGACACAGCAGAGCAGAATGCTCGGAGGTAGACTTGCGAGTGATCCGTCTCAGATTGAGGCAAGCCGTCGATAGACGAACTGGTTTGAATTAAAGTGAGTTTGTATGTCGTGACGTTGCTCCCGAATAGGAACCTTCGGTGACCCCCGGAAAAGCACCTCTTTTTGGGAAGTTGACCCTTTGGAAAGTTTCGCCGAGCCTTGCCAGTGCCACCATGCTGGAAGTCTGACTCATCTATCGACAGCTTGCCTCAAAGGCGGGCTACTTATACCAGTCTAGAGGGGAAAGCATTACAAATACACAGCAGGATGACGAAGTGGACAAATTTAACACCGACGCCATGCTTGGCATATATATATGTTGGGGATACAACATCCATGTGACCATTCTTTCTTCCCCCCTTCTAGTCCACCATGACGATTCACCATATAGGTAGGTTTTCTCGTTCTCTCTCGCTCATCTTCAAGCGATCTAACACATGGCACAGTCTTATACAGGTTCAAGCCTGAGGCAACCCCTGAACAACGACAGAGCGTGAAAGACTCTGCCTGTGCCCTTGCATCTCAGATACCTGCAATCCAGAGCATGGTTGCTGGAGAAACAGTGTACAATCCCCTTGGACATGGTTACGATACTGGTACAGCATCTCTCATCGTATCTACAACCCCGATGGTTGATAAGACTGTGCTTTAGGGGTTATTTTTCTATTCGAGAGCGCGGTCAAATTGGACGAGTATCGCCCGCACAAGGCGCATATTGATTACCAGGCGCTCACAGCACCTTATATCGAAGGTGGGTTTTCTTGTTGTTCAAAGATCGCTGTATCTAAATGGGGCGCAGACAAACTCATCTTTGATATTGAGACAGCTTAGAGGGGAAACTACTTGGCTTGATATCGTGCTGTACTAAGTACTCGTGTAGATGGCTAAATCTACTGCGCTTATCATGATGAGGAAATTGATAATCCCCAACTTCGGCTTCCGACTATGATTTTTATTTAGACAGGTATTTCTGTTATTGCGCCATATCGTCACATGCACAGTCCATGTCATACACCATACACCTGTCTCACTTAAATAGAGAATGCTGACACTGCAAAGTGATCCTAGCACACGTCCCAGGTTTTGAGCAACCATTCGCTTTCCGGTCTATCTGAGTCCATCATGACCATTTACAATATAGGTAACTTTCCATCAGACCTCCTCGCCTTGCTTGGAATTGACGCAGCAAAGTCCTGTACAAGTTCAAGTCGGAGGCAACCCCCGAGCAAAGAGAGTATGTGAAGGAACTTATCAAAGAGCTTCCGTCAAGAATATCCGCGCTTCAGAGCATTATCACCGGAGAGAAGGTCCTCCACCCCCTCGACCACGGCTATGACATGGGTGCGCCATCTTACAAAAGCTTGTGACTTGCTGTCCGACATGCTCCAGGGGCCATTTTTTTATTCGAGAACAAAGAGAAACTGGATGAATTCCGCCCGCATCAGGCACATACTGATTACCGGGCCCTCTCCAGTCCGTACCTTGAAGGTGCGTATATTAATGCTGCCAATAGACTAGATCATATAGCGGGAAAACTCCCAGACAAGATGGTCTTCGACATGGAAACAGCTTAAAAGAAAAAATAAATGGCAAAACCTCGAAAGCAAATGTTAGGAGTGCGCGTAATACATATACATTGTCGATTCTTTATGCGAAATGGGTCGTGAAACTGATGGTGCGGAGAAAGTTCAGTTATAGATCGGGAGAGGTAGCATCCTGGCAACTGTGAACAACATGAAATATATGTATGTGATGCAACACACCTGTCTGCATTGAACATAAAGTTCCCTGCCATGTCCTCTCCTTCCAAGAATCGGCTGGGATACACAACTTGGAGGATATGAGAAGAAGTTGATGATGAGGGTAATGGATAGCACTCACCAAGGTGTCCACGGACATTTTTCAACAGCTCTTCCATTTCATCCCGTTCCTGCTTGGTAAAGGGCTCTATCCCATTCGCAGGTTTTCGGCTACGAGTGTCCTTGTCAAGGAGCTGAGATCCTCTGGAGGGGGCGCCGTCACTTCCATCGTTGGTGCAAAAGGTTTCGCGGCTCTCCTGAGCGGCATCCGCCAAACCTTCCTTTTGATATGGTCCGTCTTCGTGCGTTGTCTCTGAGGGTATTCGTGATGCTGGGTAGGACGAATGGCTACTCGTTGCCTATGTGATAAAAGTATTTGAGAGGGGTATGGCGAAGAAAAGATCCACAAACCAGCTTAGAGAAGCGTTCGTGGTGAATAACAAATTCTTTGTAATGCTTCCACGTCGTAATGTGGTCGTCGGGGATAGCATGGAAAACTTTGCGATAAATGTCGGTCTGCGAAAAAGAATCAGTCTATCCACCACTCCTAGGCAGAGATAACATACGTTATACGTAGCACAAGCAATCCAGACATTCTTCCAAAATGCATCAGATATCGGGTCCTCGAAACCTTCTGGATCTACATGGGGAGCGGGAATCGATACAGTCCACGCTTTATTGCCGACTTTGCTAGTGAGATGCTTCCTGGGTAGGGTCTTAGTTCCCAGAGAAGTCTTCTCAAGCGCGTCCGGGTCATTGGCTCCCGACTCCAGATGGAGTGGTTCGTCACCGGTCTGTGGATTCTTTAACGCAAGCGCCGGAGGCCCGTTTGCTTTCCCATTAGCTGTGCGCTTCTCGTCGGGGTCAGAGTTTCCGCCCAGTTGATGTTCGAGCTTATCTTTCAAAGGAGGATGCTCAGCCTGTGAACCTGGAGGCAGGCGGTCTTGAACAACTGCCTCTCCTACAGTTGGGACTATTACGCTAGGGAGTCCTGGTTCCTCGTTGCCTTCACAAATGTACGCCATACGCTCCTCCAGAGATGCATCTTGCTCCGGATTGTTTGGTTTGTAAAGTTCCACCTTCCCAATAGGTTTCTTGAGATGGTGGAAAGCATTCCAAGCAGCTTCGTTGTCAGCTTAATCAAAATTTAGTCTTTCAAGTCTTCGGGACTGTAGTGAACACGAACTTTGTTTGATACCTTCGCCTGCACTGCGGAGCATATTAGACATGGGAGTCATGTGCTTGACTTGAGTAACATTGCGATCACCACGCTCTTGCTCCAATTCTAGGTCCCATTCTTGTTCATGATCAGGCTCGATTTCTTCTTGGGGCGTAGGCTCATAATCAATCATGGCGTCAACATCCACACCAACATGCTCTCGCATCAACCGCATTCGCAAGGTGTGTGCAAATCGCCCGACCTTGAAGGGTTTTCCTGCCATCGTGCTGATGCACCACAGCTATCAGAACATTAGCAGACGAGACCGAGAAAGCCATACCCGTCAATTAGGTCAGTGTCTCGGATGACTGCAGCAATTTCGGAATCTCGATCGCCACGTTGAGAACGCTCATTGATGTTTGCACTGCCAATAATTGCCAGACGATCATCCACAATACAAACCTAACGAGATCGGTGGGTCTGAGTATTCAATTTCAAGGATTGAATCGGTATTTATACCTTGCCATGAATATATAACTATAGCGTGGTCAGGGGGTTCGAAAGCACAGCAGCATAGGCACTTACTATCTCAGTAGTCAATACACCGTTCCGCATTTTAGCCCAGTTTCTCAGTGAAAAAACAGAGATATAATCTTCAGGCTAATGATAAAGGATAAGCACAACGGTTCCAATCGTAAAATCAACCACGCACCTCTATACCCTCTTTACGAAGTCGAGTAAATATCGAATTGGGCCCACGGCAGATAGTGCGGTTTTGACACTCGACAATGATTCGAATCTGATACGTTTGTTCAGTAATATTTCAGAAAATGTATTTCCCAACTAACTGCGCTAGCGTCGCTGTGATCAATAGAAAAGGGGAAGCCAGGGAGGAGGGGAATGACGATGCAACATTTCCACGGAGTGCCCTCACGATGTGCGCGGATGATCCGATCGACCAACGCATCGCCAATCCGGTTCTCAACCTTGACATCATTCACGACGGTCCTGTGAGACAAATCAGCAAGCAGTGGTAGCAGAGCAGCGAGTACTCACGAGGTTATGAAGAATTGATTCTCAATGTACACGAAGTGTTCCGACATCTCGATGGCTAAAAGACTATGTTAGTAACATCTCCTGCGTAAGCCATGATGCCCGACCTTTTAGGTATGCATTTTGAATTGAATGCTCAATTCGATTGGAAGTACCGAGCGACCAAGGGCCGGCTGATCTGCAGATTTGCATCTCGCATGTGCCTGTCAGACCCATTGCAGCGAGCTCTTCAGGTTTGAACTCGGGCGGAGGTAGCAGGAAAGGCATGGTTCGGGAATGGTTCTGATAAAATAAGCGAAGCCAAAAGATCTATCAGGCAACAAACACACCTTCAGCCGAAGCAAATAATTCCATCTGTAGCTCGGTAGTTAAATGATATGCTTCGCGCGAATGAATTTGAAGACAAACCTTTCAACAAAGTGTCGAGCGAGATCGCGAGCAGGCTGACCTACGACTTGCAAACCTACATCATGCCTTCGGGGAGGAGTTGTGAATGTCAATATTTCCTGAAGCACAAACCGTCGTACCAAGGCATCCGGGCCACCTTCGCCCTGTCATACATGTCCTCAAAGGGTTTATTTAGCGCATGAAAATCAAGAACCCGCGGGTTACTGTAGTCTTTGCCTGTGATGCATGGTCAGCCAATTCCTAAGTTTACCGTATAGCTAAAACGTACCTGGCCAGATTTCGGTCTTGTCTGCCGATAGCTCCGGGTCATCGACGATGACGTGCTGTGGCGTATCCCATCTTTGAAGTTCTTCAGTGATGAAAGCTGGTCGACGTCTGAATTAACTGCACACCTTCCGAAACATAGGTCAATTCCTCCCATGAATGCTATAGTCTCATCAATAACGCAAAGCTTCTCGTGCTGTTATGTATATGTCATTGGTAACCGCGTTCTTGCATAAAGAACCCTTACGTGTGCCCAGTAGAATGTACCAGTTTGGAAGTGTGAAGGTGAACGTTGAACCATAATGTTTGGGTGTAGCGACATGAGGCGTTGCTTCGCATAACTTTATGATACGGTGAGTCCACAAGATTTACGAAGCGCTTGTGAGTTCTTACTTGCTATCTGTGGGGGTAGTTCGATTCGAAACTTCCTGGCTAGAACGAGATCAATGACACTAGATACCGACATTCGAAAAGTTCTCACTATAGAATTATGTGGATCTTGACGCCTTCTTTGGCCTTTCTTTCAAGCAGATGATCCAAGCGATACTTGGGTTTATTAGGACGCCTCAGTTGCAGCTCTGTACTACATAAATAACGTGACTACCATAATGAGCCATGGACGTACCAGGGGATAGCCACCAGTCGTGAATATAGATGGTCGCTTGTGCCATGAGGATAGCCCGGGACAAATTCCACATGTAGTCGCGCTACTCCTTGTAATCAATGTCAGATGATATGGAGATAAGGAGACACGAACCCCATCAACAAGCCACTGAGCAGCGACGTTCAATCGCACTGGAGCAAAGCTGTCAAAGCGATTTTTTGCGATGAATGGGGTCGCAGCAGCGGCTTTTTCTAGGGCAGTAATCCATTGCAACATTTGACGCTAGGTCCAGGGCACCCTTCGTCAGTAATGTATAGTCACTCGACATGAGGAACCAACCTCATTTCTTGCCCATAACTTCAGCCGCATTTGCGAATTCTGGACATAAAACGTATGCTTTGAGACATCATCCGACCGTTTTTTCTTCTTCCTCTTATCTTGTTCGTTTGTCTCCCCTTCTGTCTCCCTACCCTCGGCGGGACCACTGCTCGTCAAAGGATTCACGTGCGTAGACGGATCTAACATCGGTGTCGCAGGACGAGATGATACTGCGGAGCTGCCAGAACTGACTGACTCTGTCCTCGTGTGCCCCGTTACCGTGGTATTATCCCGATTGATCGGTACCTCACCATCCGTGGTGGCTGTAATATTTGGCGATGACCTATTGGCAATTCGAAGGACCCGCGAAAGGCGACTTCTGATACTATCTATCGCAGAGAGACATTCAGCCTCGGCCTGTGGGTACACTATTTGAGTCTGTGGGTGCGGCTGCTGCTGCGTCTTGTTGAGGCCAACAAGAAATTCACGGTCCTCCGGTTCTGCGTGCAAGAGGTGCAGACCCTTACGATAGTATCGCGTGGGCCGAATGATCTTGAATTCCGAATCGAAGAGGAAGACGTCCCAGATTACCATCTAAGCCATGTTTATTAGTAGCAGGATTGTCAGTGAAATGGCGCTCGGCTTGCCTCTCCTGGGTCCTCCACGGCCACGATATAACTCTCACGAACGGCACACCACCGAGACATCTTCCGCTCTCGCCACCGTGCTGATTTTCGCCCAAACCCGGGGCCATTACCTTCTGTGTCAATGCGCAGGAATCCAGCTTTAAGTTGTGCGCCACCAAACTGAGCAAGAGTGATGAATGATGCGCTTATCTCAAGGAAGCATGCAAGTCGGTTTGCAGTTGGGTGAAACATCTAGAACGGTGTTTGTGAAGGGTAATTACGGCATAGGAGAACAGACGAACAACAGCGCGTATAAGCTTAAGCAAATAGTCCTCTAGCGCTTCTCGTTGCAAACGAGCAAAATCAGTTTGTTTGACGTGACGCCCGCTGGATTCCTTCTTCAAAAATTTAAAGTAAGGAAGACCTGTACAACAGCTCAGTATCCCCGAACATCGACAAATGCACAACTCTTACTAGTTCGAGGAAACTCTGGCAATACATCCTTTCGACTTTTGAACGCATTGGATACAGCGTAATGGGCATGCAGGGAAAGGAAATCACGAAGCTGCCTGTAGACCACCCAACGCACTGCGCCGTTGGCATATTCACACTCGATACGAAACACAGCTTTATGCGCTTGCATGGGATGTAGACTGTCACTAATCCGTATGCGCAGACGATGGAGGAGGATAGGGATGCGCCGATGCCCCTTCTCGTCGTGTTCAAACCACAAACGCAGCATCAATGTGGACAAACCGCCCGTAATGAGTTCATCCGTGATATTCACCTCGTGTGAGGTGACCACGGAGTGTGGTGCAAGAATGCCAGGTTGCCCAGCACGAATGACAGAAGGTAGGAGACTACGTAATTTGTTCCATTTTGCGGATGTTCCTGGCTTCTTGTGTTCTATTTGGGGAGGGTGAGATTGAGAACGCTGGAGATCCAAAGGGGGAGGATCTGTGGGCTTGCGAACAGGTCCTATTGTTTTATGGCGAGACATGGGTTTCCTCTCTGTCTTCTCTTCTTCCTCTTCAATTATTGTGTTAGAATGTTCTGGGAACATCGAATTCGACCTGTCCTCTAATGGTGAATCATGGAATTGATCCAAAACTCTGCTTTCTCTTGCTTTCCCCTTCTTATCTGTGGTCGCTTTTCCCAGAGAAGGGCTAATCTCAAGCGCACCGCGAAAGCTTGACGAACTTGAATTAATTTGAAACGAGGTTTTGCCACGATCTAAATCATTTTCAAAGATATCACTGTATTCCTGCTGGCTATTGCCAAGAATTTGACGTGAGATAGATGATGAGCGGTGGGAGAAGGTGAATGATAAGGAGCGTGGTGGTCCTGTACGGCTTGATGGTGTATCAGGGAGGGCAGTCCTCGGTGTCCTGAGTGGAGACCCGGGAGGTGAGATTGGGGCTGGTGATTCAACGCGGCTCATGCCATGGTCTATCGAAGACTGCGAGTCAACGTCCCGGGTCTCATCATCATGTTTGTTGTGTCCAGACGAATTGGCAGAGTTCTCTTTTGCGTCTTGTGTATGGCTGGTGCTGATTCTAGCGTTGACCGAGTTTAAAGATGACATTGCAAAGTCGCAATATGCAGATCACGATGAATGGCTTTTTACACAGTCTGCAATAGCGACTCCACCGATTGCTCAATCACGTATGACACGGTGATTGGCAATTGCGGAGTTGACGCGAATACCTCAAGAAACGATACGCCCTATACAGAGATGATTAGTATAGAAAACTTGGGTATTATCACCAGCTGCAACCGTAGCGCTCACTGTGTTCAGCAATTCAAAGTCAATGTCAACCGTGTTGAAAAGGAAAACATGAACAGACGCTCATATGTCATTGTTGACGTAATCATAAATGTTTTTTGGCGCCTAGCCATGACCGTGACGGTCACCGACCAACTTCGTCACTTCAGTTCACTGATTCAGGCCAAAGTTCAAACGTTTATCAACTGCCTCCAACGCCGGTGCACGCAGAGGTCCTGGTGGTAATGCCAGGGACAAGTGCACTGCCGTGATCACAATCATCATTAATGCCAGTGCAAGTATTTTTAATGCTTGTTGCCAGGATCAGTCATCCTTCCGGAATCCGGGTGTGGTCAATTAATCACCTGCTCCTGCTTCTACGTTCACGATCGACGGTTAGACTCAGTCTACCGCAATGACAAGCCGAAATCTGACACTGCTTTGTGCTACCAATTCAGGTGACTGAGCCCGCGTGCTTCAGTGATGATGGGGCTTCATCGAATATGGGCCCGGGATCCTTCCATTTCAAGATCGGACAACTGGCATTTGATCAAATGGCTTTGTTCAGGATTGATACAGCGATGCAATACTTGTTCACACGACCCCTTTACTCCACAGATAAGCCTGTAGTTGCCTGTTGAGTGCGTCACTTATCACTGCAATTCGAAATCAAGAAGGAACGACCGTATTCCTTCTTTATGGTCTGGCTAAGGGGGAAACCCCAGCCAGTAAGGTTAAATTTGGTGCGCATGCACAGATTTTCAAAATGTAGACGACCAAAACCTTGGAGAACGCTAAATATGCTACATCTATGCCTGTTCATCTGCTACAGGACTATACTTGTACTCGACAACCAAAAAAAAACTCATGAGGCAACGCCGACCAACAGCATACTACACCCTTGAAGGATTCACAGCCAAGTATCCACCATCAATAACCAATTCCTGCCCATTCATATATGCCGCAGCAGGCGATGCAAGATACACGGCAGTGCCTGCCATTTCAGCTCCGCTGTTCGTTTTTCCTGTCAGTAAAGTCGCTAGTCCGCGGATCAAGCTTCACTCACGTCCCCGGCCTTTGTGCTGGTACCGGCACCACCGGCATACCAACCGAATCAGTTGCAGCTTGCCCTGTAATATTGTCATATGTCATCTCGCTTTCATACACGCCTGGCGCGATGGCGTTCACTCGAACATTGATTCCTTTCAGAGCAAATTCCGTCGAAAGCATCCTGGTCAGGTGAGATGCAGCAGCTTTTGAGCTGTTGTAGCAGAACTTGTCCATCAAAGTTAGCGATGATAAACGAACGCGACCGTGACTTTACTCACATGTCTCTGTGCGACCTTTATGAGCCCGCTGATACTGGTGATATTGATGACGCTTGAAGAGAACCCTTCTTTACCGGTATCCTTAGAGCCCTTGTCGAGCAAATCCAAAAACGCAATAGTCACAAAGTAGATCGAAGATGTGTTGATGGCGAAAAGGGAGCCCCACTCCTCGAACGATTCATTGTTGAAGAGGTATTCACTAAGTGGTCCGGCCTCCTTTTGAGCAGTAGTCGATGGCTGATTTAGTTCGTCAGAGATAGGACCACATTGACCAGCACTTTGTTCGATCATGAGTCACAATAAAATAGGGACAGTAGATGTCATACTTGTTCACGAGAATGTGTAGCCTTCTCTCTGCTTGGGATATTCTCGTCACACCAGTTTTAATGCTGTCCTTATTCGTGACATCCATCTCTTGTCTACATTGTCCTTGATCAGCCTGCACGAAACGAGGATAAAGGATAGATCTCACGCGATCATAAGCCCCATATCGTCACTCTTAGTTGCATTCCACTCCGCAACTACTCCATCAAGAACATTCTTCCTTCGGCCGGTGATATACACCTTGGCCCCATTAGCAGCGAGGCCACGTGCAATATTAAGGCCGATGCCTGTGCCACCACCGGTCACTAGTGCGATCAGGCCAGTGAGATCGTAGAGCTTCTTCGACGTATAACTATCAGGAGAGGACATAGTGATACAAGGCTGCAAGAAATCAACAAGATACTCAGTTTGAGTGAGAGGATTCTAGTACCGCAGTAAGTACCTGCGAGAGAACAACGAGGGCTGGTGAGTTTGATCAAGTACGGAACATATGTAAGAGTCTCACCTGAGTCTGATCGAGAAGGATGAGTGAATCGAAATGTAACGGGTACGTAGACTATATACTAAGGTTGCACCCGGTGATGTAAAATAGACGTGTGTTATCGTACGTGTGCGGCTGTAAGTGGTCACAGATGCATTAATGATTTGTCGTAGCGAGACCTGCACATTACGTCGGATCATGCAAGGCCAACACATGGTGAGATAATTAACCGCTTGAGTGACCATGAGGCCTAAGTTGAATAGACAATTAGTCAAAGCGAAACTGGAATGGAATAAAAAAGATTAGTTACAAGGAAGTCAAGCCACGATGCCACTAGGTTCATTGGAGTTGAATTTGTCTTGACGGTCCCGGTCCCGGGGCCCCTAAATTCCAGACTATGCTATTCGCTGACTAATTTTCAACTCAACCGGTATGTTAGTTTCCACTAACCATATAGAACGAATACAATCGTTCCGTCTTCATTCCGATATACACAGGAAGTGCCAACCCCAACCAGAGTTCCGGGTCTCGAGTTGAGCAAGCTCGACTTCAGCAACCAGTGTGACTGCCAATATTCTCGCGTCTTCTTCGTCATCAGGAAAAGCAATCCCTTCTCCGTCGTTCACCAGAGTATACTGTAGTAGTAGATCACCCATGTCTTACCGACGAAATCCACATTAGGGTGATATGCATTCGGACCATGTTGAAGAGACAGAATGGACAGGCCGGGTTGGCCGAACCGAGTTTCAGCAGCGATGGACACGGAGGTTTCTTGAAAGAATGGCGAAATGAACGGACCTGCGGTTGGTCCACGGCAGTCTCCAGTTTCAGTATGTAGGTAATCCTGATAAGACAAAAAGCGTGTTCGTCACGAGTGTGTGGAAAATCCCCATCAGGAAGACGTGGTGGCGGGAGTCCGCAAACAGTTATTTAGTTCGCTAAACTTGACTCACGTGTAGATCCTGTAAGGAAGGTGAAAATCCCATCCACTGGTGCGAAAGAACGGGTCTGTAAAAAAGGGGGCAGAGAAGGGGGGCAAAAGTATATTGCTCATCATATCCACGCTCCATCATGCAGTGGCAAATCTCCACTAAGGCAATACATGTGAATAAGGTCCTTTTCAACACCGTCCACTTCCAAATTGCGAAGTTCTCTGAAATGTTTCATGAGGGAAGGAATGGAGCAGTGATCTGCCCAGCGACCCGCCATCGCCAGAACCTTGATGCTGGATGGTATTGTGACTTCAAGGAGGCTCAGGGCGGCTCTGAGTCCAGGGAATGGCGCTGACTTCCGCCAGCGTCTATTAGCGGGTTGACAGCGAAGGTCAACCAGATGTAGTTCGCGAAGGTTGGGTACGGAAAGGCGGGACAAGAGTGATGTAAGTTCGGGAGGTATGTCGATATGCGATTTGTCGACGGCAAGAACAAGCCGCTCGAGCTGCAGAAGGTGAATCTGTCCTGCAGGAACACCGTCGTGAGATAGGTACAGAACTTCTCCATGCAGCATTCTTCTCCTAAAGCATATGCGAAGCTCGCGCAGTGCGCATGAAATTCGAATCATTCCTAAAACTTCATCTACGGCGATTGATCCAGTTGTGAATCCGTGATGAGTATAGTCGAGATGTGTGAGGCGTCCATAAAGCCCTGGCAGCCAGGTCAGGCGAATGCCATCAAGCGTGACGTAACGCAACCGAGGCGCAACACCTGCGAAAAGAGTAAACTCCTTTGAGTCATCATTCTCTGGAAAACAGAGAGTAAGTTTCTCAAGTTGCAGCGCGTGCACAAATGGAGCGAAAGTATGTGCGCCCATGTTATTATCGTCCCGTTGCTCTTGATGGCATATGGGGCCGAGAGCAGTGTTCCATAGGAACGGCGAGTAACTAGAAAACCGCAGCTCAAAGGAGCGGGCTCTAGATATGTGTGGGACAATAAGATGCAGTTGCAGGGCTAACACATCTATATCGGGAAAACGGTGCTGCGGAGGTGTGATTGTAATGTCGAGGGAACACCCACGGGCGCGGGCTATGCGCTCCTTCCACAGACGTAATCCATGAGAATCAAACGACAGGCGCCGCCAGAGGGTATGCGTGTGTATCGCAAGCATCCTCCATGGGTGGCAGACATGCGAAATCGTGATAAGAAATAAGGCATCATCAAACGAGCCCAGCTCAAATACACGAATGAGAAGCTCTGGAGGGAGGGCGTGAATGGGATGATGTTGGAGGTTGGAGATCGGACTACGGTATAGAGATAATGTTAGAGAAGGGCGAGCGAAGTCTGGGGATTTTACAGTTGAAGGTGATGGCGAGGAAGGAAAATTGGTGCGATCGACGACGGGTGAACTGCAGTATATTGACTCTGGAGAGCGCCTGGGACATAGTCAGGGAGATATCAGTGATAGTGAAGGATAAACTTACTGAGGAGGATGAACCTTTTCCTGAATCGCGTTCTTGAATGACCTAGTGAGGATTAATTCACGCCGACGAGATCGTCTGAGTATCGATGGCATGCTTCATGGTCGAGGTGAAGCACCTTAGGGATGCCACTCATTTATGGATTCAAATTATGTATGTAACTCCTGCGACACAGGGGCTCGCCTGACATAGCTTCGGGTCCAATCGGTTCCGAGCATGAGAGCAAAGAGTAGTCCGCCGGGACAATAGAGAAGCCTGACGTGGCAGCAGAATTGCTGTGTGTCCCATCCTGGCAGTGCAAAAATGTAGAAACCTTACAGCGAAGAACAAAAAACGGGTTTCGACAATGGACCTTTGTAAATGGAATGGTAGCGCCACTCACTCGTAAGGGTCAAGATGGGAGTCATAACTCTGATGCTAAGTCTCTTTCGCCACTGCCACTGCCCCCACATTGGCAACTTCTGACTATACTCCACTGTCAGCCCTGCCTTGTCCATCGCAAGCCAGGACACCAATTTGAAGCTTGAAGTTTAAGGCCTATTCATCGCCGGCAGTCAAACTTGAATTCTGCAAAATGTTGTGTTTGCGCCGCCTTCTGTGGTGATGATTAACAGACCATTCGATAGGGTGTACTGTGTCATCTAGCAGTTTCTTCTGGACGGTAATGATAGTTGAGTTGAATCTCGTGGCCTTTAGCACGTTGAGACCCTAAACCCACTCACCGAGGAGTCGACGACTCGAGGACCCTGTCTCGGTCGTTTCCGAGCCGAAAAGGGATTTAGGCGTCTAGACTCTAGACCAACGTTTGAACCACGCGCATATAATTCCCATCCGCCCGCCATGATGCCATTCGTCCCGCTGCGACCCCGGCTTCGATACCTTGTGTTTCAAGTTAGCACGTGACTGTATCCCTCGCCGACTACAACACGACAACCACGGGCCCAGAGCAGGGAACAGTTTACTCAACGAAAACTTATCAATAAACCAAAAGTTCCTCTCGCCCTCTATCTTTCTCCGAATCTCAAAAACTGTCAAAGACATTGATCGAAAGTCATCCATAATTCGATTCTCATATTCGAGGTTTGATCAGCAAAAAATAAAACCCCTATATAGACGCCTTCAAAGCTCTGCAGCCATACCTGGGAAACTATTGGAACATCTTGATGGCCTAATCGCTGGCCATGGCTTGTAAATAGTAATGAACGTTCAGTCGCCGCTACAAATAGGCACATGTAATAATACGAACGCCAGATCCTACTACTCGACATTGATTCATCCATGATGTCGACCTGTCTTTCACATTCGCAGTTGTTCGATGATTCAACTACTCGTATCGATGTTTTTCGAATCGCGAACCCAACTGGCATGGAATTACTGGATGCCTATATAGAACTCATTGCAATTGACAAGGCCCGTACATATCGTCGCATTTATTTGCACATTTTAAATACCTTCAATATAGCTCCGGATTGAATTAAAAGTTCTATCGTTTTTGCTGAAAGGTCGAGTCTCTCTTGGTGATCTTTGGAAAATCGTCGGGGAACGCACCATAGAAGTTCAACAGGAGACAACATTCCGACAACACCAGAGCCAATGCGTTGACGGATTCAAGGGGAAAAGTCACGTGATGGTAGAGCAACTTCTCATGGAGAAGAAGAAGAAACGATGTCAGATGGAGGTGTCTTTGTATAGTCAGGCCCTCGGACACTTGCAGCAGCACCGGATGCGTGAGCTCCTTCAACTTTGACGCGTGAATCATTAGTCTGAACGTCATTGTTACAAAGCAGTCCATTGTTCTGAACGTCCAGTGACTCAGCAGGATGTCAGACCTCCTTCAACAATCTCAAGAAGTGCTGTAGCCCGCTCTCCTTTAGGCTGTCCAACAGCGACGCAAGATAAATGCGAAGCTTGGTTAAACAGACAGCGTGGCATTCCCCTCCCAGCAGATGCCGAACCTTTCGATACCAGATTGCCCTTTTTTGAAGGAATTTACTTCCTCGATGCCTGAACCCGCTACTACACATGAAGCTAAACGAACATCTGTCATTTTGAACGTCAGTGCTGTAATTCGTGTATTCGGCTATTCTCACTGTCTCTGAAGTGTGTCGGCTCATCATTGCCCATGTTGAGCACATGGGTAGCTACTGGCATCCAAGAAGCCTTCTACGATGCATTTCATGCAGAACATACATGCCAGGCAGGACTAACGTCACATTCTCTTACTGTCGATGGCGAACATCAGCGCAATATTGGGTTGGAGCTACTTATCTTGCAGGCAAAGATGCGCCGCGCTCAAGCTGAGATAGATCTCTACACAGCGGCCATTGAAAATGCCCGCGAATTTGACTTCTCTGCCACTAGTGGGTCTCCTGGCCATATTTTTTTTGAAGTGCTGATGGTCCTCTACAGACAAACCATCGTTTTCCGGTGGACATATTCCACCACCTCAACCAGACGAAATGTGTTACTACGAGGAGGACCGCGACACCGTGACGGACGATTTCGATGATTTCGAATTTGAGTAATCTCATGAGTCACCCCGCCTGTCGCCTTGGTCGTCGCAACTTGCGATGGTTGGTTTTGGTCTACATTTTTATTTAATTTTTGCAGTCGTTGCTACCAGTAGTTGTACGGAGTATATCAAGCAGTATGTGTATATTATCATGATGTTCGGGCGATGGGGGGACGTGAATTCAAGTTGACCCGGCGAGGTAATACTCATAGAGTCAACACGCTCGCGAGAGACCATTTAACGACGCACTGTTGGTTTTTATTTCTGCAGCAAACCACGCCCGTAATGTCAGGAAGCTAACTTGGATACTACAGAATCTGAGATCAGGTTTCGCGAGAGCACATTTGCACGAATGGCCGCGGGGCCACCCCAAGCTATCTGCACATCCCCGGTGACCACTCATGTACTAAACCATTCTCTCCTTGACATCTTGATAAAGCGTCATTCTCCAGCTTTTATAAATCACACTCTCAATTCCTAAAACACAACAAAGAACACTGTGGATGATAAGGGTTTTTTGATGACACATCAGCAAAACTTATACCATCTGCGATAATCTTTGAGCTATGGATGCCTTGAAAAGCTCTACTACTAGTACGCGAAAGGCTTTGAATTGGCCTTCCGCATCCTTTGCTTCGTAGTTGCTAGGAGTTCCTGATCTTACTACTGCCAGAAGCGACTACAACGAGATGGATCATCCGAGTCATCTGTAGATTTACTAGTATGAAGTCGAGCGTTGAACGTTGAACAACGTTGACGTGCTAAGACCTAGTACTTGCCACTTCATGTTCACTCATCAGCAGGTTTGATTGTGCTACAGAATGCTACAGAGCGCTCTGTAGCATTCTGTAGCGAATTATGTTTGCCTGATGGGCCTGAGCAGTTTGGATCATCATGCGCACGTCTAGATCAACACTTCAAAAGATGACACGACATCGATTGAGACTCGCCCCTCATCGATCATCAATAGATTTGATACCTGCAAATTGACGCGGGGGAGCAATCAAAATAAGATGCAGGGATCATTTTCAAATTTCATGGGTTACGTAACTTACGTGTATAACTTGTACAAAACCACAGGCATCCCAAATAATTTTTTCTTCGGATTCTCACCAAAGAAACGGAACAAGTCGCGCAGGCACTCTCTGCATATACGCACGGTATTCCTCAGCAACAGCAGGGTCTTGCATAATAAGATCCTCCTAAAAATAACTGCATACAGCAACACAAAGACTCGGACGAGATACCCACCTCGACAAGCAGCTTGACAGCAGACGCGCCAGTAGTGATACCCAATCCTACAAGCGGCGCATAAGACCAGGTCATCAGCGTAAAAAGTAATCCCTGGATGAGCGCGCTCCTGTCATAAGGGGGACGTCAGAACTCAATCCCATCTCACCCATGTAGATGACGAAAGAGACTCACGTGTACAGCGGATGACGCACTACCGCGTATGGACCTGTTTGTACGATTCTGGACTTCTCGCGTCTCTGGCGAGGGGCAGTGAGCTGATGTCTTGTTCACGTGTGAAAGAAAACAGTACGCACCCCAATTGGGTGCCACTGACTGCCAAGGTGCGTGAATGCGCGTGCACTGAACCTGATGACCATAAAGGTCGCTGCGCATGCTGCGACTCTCAGCCCTACTTCATTTTCGTATTTGAAATAGGTATCAGGAAGGCTCATGCGCTGCATCCATGCAGGCTGCGCGAAGCGGTTAAAGGGGACGCATAGGATGTATGTCACGGGTGGGATGAGGATGGAGAGAGCGTGTATTGGGGTTATAATCTTGCCAATGAAAGAAGTTGGGGTGACCCGGACGGGACCTGCTTCCGCGTTAGCGACTGTGGCGATTGTACGCACGCGAGATAAGGAATATTGGAATTGTCGGAAGGTGGTAAATACGGCGAGTCCTTCCACGGTTTGGGTGGATGATGGAAGAATACTAGTGAGGCCGGCGATGTAATACATGGGTACGGTGATATCTTTATAACGATTTTCGGTGGCAAGAATCTGGGTATGGCGGCTGGCCGCTCAGCGCTGCAGCTGCGACAGGGCGGCTCTCACATGACAGCTAACGTTAAATGGTGTAAACATTAACAAAGTCTTGACAAGCTGTGCTACAATGTAGCCGATCATCGACCTTGAAGGCAGTAGTCCTCGTGCCAGAAGATGATCATAAGATGATATGGTAGAAGCGCACTATTCTAGGTATATCAGTAGGGCGTAATGATGATAAGAACTAATAACGTACGAATGGGCATGCAACCAGTGCAATTTGAAGTGTTAGAATTAGAGTCCAGACACTTGTCATTGGGTGAGCCTACCAACACGATTGATGGTCTTACGACCTGAACTAAACTGGATGTAGTCAAGTGAAGACTAGAGTCGCGCTAAGGGTGGGTTCTTAATGCAAGGCTTTTGTGCATTGCGGTGTGCAAGGGTGGGTGCTTCGGCACCGCCAAGTTGATGATCAATGATCATGATTCAGAGGAGCTCCGTTTCCTTCCGACTTTGCTAGATGGCCGGGGTGTAGGCCGTATTTGCTGACAGCCGTGGTGGTAGTTTATGCACGTGAAACATGACAGGATATGTCATAAGTAGCATACAATTTTATGTCAAGTGCATTTTATCGTTGAACTCATGAGCTCACCACCCTTGTCGGCGTCCTCGTCGCCGTCGCCATCGTCGATAGAATGGATGAATCCATGGAGCAAGGTTTGTGATTTGTGTTGACATTGCGATGGAAGTGTGATTTCTGACCTGTGTCAATCACCGCCCTGACTCGAATTTGACTGCCACGTTAAACTTGCCCGTCACTCCTTGTCGCTCGACGTCGTCTTCTCAGTCGCTTTCTGCTCAGACGACGCTCGAATCGCGGGCCACGATGCCAATTCATTTCTTCACTGAATCACCACGCAGTTTCGGGGATACTAGGCGTTCGAGTCTAGCTCGAGAACCAAAAGGGAAGGAAAAGGAATCATACGTTGATCATGTCGAATTCCCTTATGGTATGTTACGACGACCTGACTCGCAAGCTTGAGCTTACATTCTTTAGACCAAGACTCAGCTGCAGCGCTGTTACCCAATTTCACTGTCAATGGGTCAACTAGCATATCATCTAATGAATCATCTACAAGATATCCTTACTTGTATCCTGCACCTCAACAACCAAAGCCAATACCAAGGCCCATATCTCCAAAAAAACAGCGCACTTCCCTCTTATTCTCTCTCGTTCGCAAAAAACCTGGTCACACTAGTCATGTTTCTCAATATACTCATCCAATCGTCATGCCAGGCGTTATGGAAATATCCCGCCCATATTCCTATGTCCAAGAGGAAGAGGAGCGAGAGAGACTCAGAGATGCTGCTGCTCAGAGTATCGGTCTCGTCGACTATCCTACCAGCGAACACCCAGAGGATACCCGAGAGGAGGACCAAGTGCCTCCATCAGCAACCATCGATTCACATATATCTGAACCTCCTCTTGTGCCTCCATCACCCATGCCCTCACTAACTCCAACCCTCTTACCCCATCTCCCGCCTTTCCCCACAAACCTCGCCTCCCTCAGTTCACGAATCACACTCACAGGTACATTCCCCAAATTCTGTCCCTCATCCTCCCTCCTAGTCTACGCCCTCGCAAAGCAATGGAAGACAAGATCTATAGTCCTCACGACTGCGACCTCGGCCGCATCGCAGACAGTCACGCACCTCCATCTTTTCAAATCAAATATCCCGTCATCCTCGGAGCTTCAGCGCTTACCTATAACCCAAGACACTGCTATCTACGTCACAGAGCAATCCGGGCCTGGTATGAACTCCACTCGGACTGGCACCCTCACCAAACGCGAAAGCAGGAGCGGAGCGAGAGGCAGTGGAGGCAAGTCAAACGGCTCAGTCGTTGCTATTGAGCAAGGCGAAATTATTTGGCATTTCGAGATGCAAGATCCGAGCGAGAGACAGAAGTGGATTGGTGCCATAAAGGCAATTGTCTTGGGCCAAAGGTAGGCTGTGTCGCGTCGTTGGGTCCTGGTTTTAATACTCCTCTCCAGATCCATGCGCGCAGGTCTCACTGCATCACCCCACCTCAGTGGGCATGAACCCCGCGGGGATATGGATGTCATGCTATCCATGCGACTCCAAGCATCATTATCTTCTGCCACATACCCTATGTCACCCGCAGCTTCGTCACCCCGTACATCATCATCTTCTCCACCCGTCTTGGCAGGTTCCCTCCCATTATCACAGCCTACATCCCCAATCAGAGGCTCCTTATCGCTTGAGGTCATGCGTTCCCAACCGCACACAAGGTCCTCGACACCCAACCCACCTGTACCCACCGATCCCTTCACGCGCTCATCAAGCATCAGATCAACTAAGAAATCCCAAAGCCACAGTCCCAATGCTCATAGATCTGGCTCTCGCTCCGGCCCAAACTCCGGTTCCTCTTCCCCAACGCCATCCATCCGCCTCCAATCCAAGCGCTCAGGCAACATCTCCCCAGCCCTGCTCTCTCAAACGCACTCTTCCAAATCCTCCACGTCTACTTCCAAATCCTCCATATCTACTACCAAAACCATCAAAGGCATGTTCACGCCTCGCTCTCGTTCGCCGTCCTTGTCTCTCAATGGACACGGACATGAGCGTGAAAGCGAGTATGCAGAAGAGAGCTTTGGGACGGTGGGGAGTAGTTTAATGGGTATCACTGGCGTGGGCATGAGCACCAAGAGGAGCAGCTCGCCGATACGCCGGGCGTCGCCTGTACCTAGCATGGCATCGTCAGGACCCGACGAATTCTTTGTGCACCAGTCAAACGGGAGCATCCACAACGGGATGTTGTCTAATGGTGTAGGTGGGACGTCGAGCATGTGCTGCTCGAACATGTGTTGCACGAGCATCAACGGTATCCCCGCTTGTGATCTAAAGATCGTCAAAGAAGATGAACGGTGGGCTCCTCCGTCGTCTACGACTGAACCTCTGTCGCACACGCCTTTCCACTCGCATTCACATTCACACTCGCATTCGCATTCTCTCCACCCGCCCCCGCGGTGCAAGAAGCAGACATCTGTGCAGCCACTCGCAGACGCGCTATGCCAGCAAATGGACACAAGCACTACGCCTAGCGTGCAGACCTCCACCGTGACCGAGGACAGCTCAGGTACCTCATTCACCCCACACCCCATCACCCCCATGC